TAACAGTGCTATGGGCTACCCCGCACGGCCTTTACCTAGGACTGACATGGGCTGCCCAACATGGTCTTACATCCAATGTCATGGGCTAACCCACATGGTCTTTACCTAGGACTGCCATGGGCTACCCCACATGGTCTTACATCCAATGTCATGGGATACCTCGCATGGTCTTTACCTAGGACTGCCATGGGCTACCCCACATGGTCTCACATCCAATGCCACAGGCTTCCCCGGGGTCTTCATGCAAAACACATAATCACATATCATATAAACTCACAGAATAACTAACACATATACCAAAAACACATAATGGGTCGGCCTTGGTGCCTTAGACCCACGTACCCTCAGTTTAAGCACTTTCCCCATTAAGTGCTTAATACTTGAGTTCTTTACGTCCAAAAGCCAGATCTAAGTATGTAATGATGTCCTAAGGTATAAAGTTGGCAACTTTATGCCTTTGCATGACTCCAACACACCCAACTTCTCCATTAAGACCTTTCCAAGGTCTTTAACCCATGCATGAGGCCAAAGCTCTCAACAAGCTTCCATTTTTATGGTACTAAAGGACCTCAGATCTATCTATCCCTTATCCTGGAGTTGCTTAACTCTCAAAGTAGGTACAAAATCATCCAAAAAGGGACCAAACAAGAAACCCTAGCTAGATCTAGAGATTAAGATGGAAAGGTGCAAGCTTTATACCTCAAGAAGCTTTGTAAGATGACTAAGATGAAGGATCTTGAAGCACTAACTCATTCCAAGCTTGTAAAACCGCCTCTTCTTCTTGGAATGGACACTAAAAGAGTCACAAAGCACTTCTATAAGCTCAAAATGGTCTCACACAAGTTCTCTAGAGTATAAGGGTGTTATAAGGCAGTGGAAGCTCTCTAGGGCTAAGTCCAAGGAACTTAAGGCTGCTTAAAAAGTCTCATGTCCGACAATTAGGGTTTTGACTCTCTGAAGCATACACCCAACGTACATGAGGCTCCTCCGCGATCAATCATGCAAAGTACGCTAAGTGTACTCATAGGTACACCTAGCGTACTTGAGGGACCAATTATGCTCAAAAGTAAAATCTTGAGGGTTTCAAGATGTACCAGGTTTTTGGGTGTTACACTTTTTTATTGAGACTTTGTGTGTATTGAGTGATCAAGATGTCTAGACTTAAGATTTGGAGCTTGTGAGGTCCATAGAGTTCAAATGTCCCAGCTTTATTCAACCATATAAGAGTTATTGTGCTTAAACACCCTTGTTAGAGTTGTATTGGCATTTTGGAGCAAAATATGCCATGCATGAACGTAATGATCGAAGCTTTACGTGACATTCGAGCCTTGGGATCCTAGATCTAGTGTTTGTAATGGTAGATCTACCTTAAAACGTTTGAAAGAGAATTCAAACTAATGGGACTCGCCGAGTCAATAAGCTGACTCGACGAGTTGGTTAGGGTTTGTCCCGATGAGCTTGATCATGCAATAACTCGGTGAGTTTGAGGGTCAACTCGACGAGTGAGCTGGACTTCATGAGACTTCCAAGGAAACGGGGGGACTCGACGAGTTGCATAAGTGCACTCGACGAGTTGGGTCAACATTGACTGTTGACTCGAGTTTGACTTCTATTGACTTTAAGGTTTGGTCAAACATGAGAAATGGAGACAACGGAGGGGTAAAATGGTCTTTTACCCACTTCAAGAGTTAGAGAGAGAAAGAATAACCTTAGGTTATTAGAGTAGTGAATAAAGTATTAATTAGAGATATTTATCCTATGTGTTAGGTGGAGGCTAGTTCGAGATTCGGATACGAGGTTATTTGCTTGCTTGCTTACGAGGCAAGTCTTCTCACTATACTTTACCTAGAGTGGTAATCTTTGTGTAACTGGAGGGTCGTATGTGTTTTATTGAGTATTGTGCTATCTTGTTTTATGTTTATGATTAAGTTATCTAGGATATGTATTATTCTGAGCTTACTAAGCTAGGATCGGAGGGTCCACCCGGGTTGTGGAACCGGAGGGTCCCACTAAGACACATTGACCAGAGGATCTTATTGAGTATAGCCATGAGAGGATAATGAGAGGTGTGTAGTATTTTGGGGAACTCATTAAGCTTCGTGCTTACCATGTTATGTGTTATGTGTTTCAGGTACCTCTCAGGATCACTGGAAGGCACCAGCATGATTGTACACACTCGTTTAAGACCATGTTGAGGATTCTGGGATAATGATTTTTACTTTTGATGACATTTGAGATGATTATGGTTTTTAGAAAATGTAATATCTGTTTATTGTTTTTTTTATGAAAAATTTGGCTTGAAAATTTACGGTGTTACAGCAAGGCTAAAAGAGTCACCTAGTGTGATCTAAGAGGTCTATGTTTTATTGATTGAACACCTTTAAGCCCAATAAATCTACTAAAGCCCACATAGATGGATCTTGTTTCTTTTGTGAATAAACTGGACATTGGAAGAAGATTTACTCCTCTTATTTGGAAAGAAATTCTGGAAGAGACTAGTACTTTTAGTATCTACTAGATAGAACTCATACTTTTCATATAACACTTAGTTACTTGGTACTTGAATGTTAATCTAATATTTGTAAATGACTTGCAGATATTTACTGAAAAGTAACTAAGCTGAGCACAACCAAGTTGGAACTACACTCTCGAAGTTTAGTTTATTATTTATGTTTAGAACATAAAGTACTTGTAATGTAAAACAATATTTGTTTTGGAACAATGTTGTTTTTAATTTAGCATGTCTAAATTCATGTCTTAGTTATTTCATTCAAATGTTTATTAATTTACTCAATCGTTTTTCATAACAATAATATTCATATCTTCCTTGACCTGATGTTGGCTCTATGTAGGGTGAAACTTGTCATTTTTTGCTGACTAGTTAGAAATTAGCTGCAATGATATCCCATTTTATAAAATTCATAGTAAATTGTAGGAATATCGTATGGACCTGTGCAAGTAGTCATCAGAAAGCTAAAGAATAGAACTTCTAGAATATGAATAAATATTATAGCTTTGGCAAGCTTGAATAGACTGTTGTTTCAGGACAAAATCTAGAAAATGAGTCTAGTAGCTTATCTATATGTTTAGGGTTAAGAATAGCCATTTTTAATCTTGATTACTATTATAGGAGTGTTTCAAAGTGACTTGGTGTAATTGGATTCTTGGGTTACTAATTGTAGTCTACTCTGCAACTCGTGGTGAGTTCCTCACTACATGACATTAGTGTTTTATACGCTTTGCTTTAGCTCGTGTGGGTTATTAGAACATGTATGATTAGAACTAGATTGTATGGCTTGTATTGATTGTATATGGTATGTTGGGCTAAAGGCTGTAAGGCCGAGCTGTTTGACCGAAGGTCGTGACACGAAGTCAATGGACTGAAGGTGGTGTCTCCGAGCCTAAGGACCGAATGTAGAAATACATAGTCCTTGAGGAATGCTCGCTTATTGATGTTTTCTTGAACTAACATGCATGGTATGAAAGTTTTTGTTTATCTATGATGTATGTTAGATTATAACATGATGGCATGATATATGTACCAGTATGGTACGAGTAAGATATATTACCTTGATGTGATGTTGTGCTGGAACTCACAAAACTTCGTGCTTATTTCCCTCTTAAGATTACTGTTTCAGGAATTGCAGATGCTAGTAAGGAGAAGACATAACTTTATGATTTTTATAAACATTGGACCCCTAGTTTTTAGTTCCACTGTTTGATTTCTGGTTTGTGAACAAAGTGGGCGTTATTACTTATTATTATGGTTATTTAATATTTAAAACTTAATGGATTTTGGTTGAGTAACATATCGAATGAGATTTTATATTAATCAAATGTGTTTTTAAAAGTTTTAATTTATTATAATTTTAGGGATGTTACATTTACATCACATCATGCCAACCAAAACGAACTTTGGAGCAGACTTTACTATTTGGAATACAACATTCCAAAAATATTAGTTATTTTCGGTTTCTAAAAAAAAGATTATTTTTGTTAATAATCTTGTTAGTACGAGTTATTAGTTAATACCAATGTTTTAAAACCGAGTTTTTAGTTGACTCAGTGTGATGACCGGTTTATGAGTCAACCGCCGGGTCAACCCGATTTATGGTCTTTTTATACTTTCATATATTTTTACTTTCCTGCATAATGCATAGGCATATAAAACTAATAATCTGATGTCCTTAAAGTTTAAACATTGAAAAAATATCAAAACATGTTATAAATTGTGCTTGTAATGGTTCTTCTTCCATTGATTCCATATTTAACTGCATTGAAAAGCAATGTTATAATCAATAAACATATGTTAATTGGATCCTAATTACATAATCTACATAATCAGAAACCTTGAAACAGTGATCAATCTACTATAATAAATGAAAGTTTTTTTTTGCCACATGTCATCTTCTCATTCATTTGGACACATGGCATTTTCTAGATTTTTTAAATTTTCTATTTTCCACTTGTTATTTTATTGTAATTTTCATTTTATTAAATTAAAATTCCACATTTAATGTAAGGTAATATATATGTAAAGTATTTATTAGAAAGAGTTTATATATGTAATGTATTCAATACATTAAAGTCTCATTAATTTTAATAATTCAAAATTTTCTAATTTTTCTTATAAATTCAAACTTTTCAAATTGTTAAAATTTTATATTTGTTTTTTTAATTAAACCTATATAATACATGGGTGTCACACCTAGTTAACAATAAATAATCAGAAAACTAACCAAAACCATCACCTGTTTCAAAAGAAAAGATTTTAAAATTGATTTCAGATTTCACCTGTTTCAAATCAAAAACAGGTTTTGTTGGTTGTTTTGCAACAAGTTTCAAACCATGATGAAATAGACTTCACAGTCGATATGAGAAGAAAAGAAAACAAGTTTCAAAACCATGAAATGTTTCAAAAGATGAAATCAGAAAAGAAAAAGATGAAATAGACTTCGCAGTTGATAGGAGAAGAAAGCATCACATTAATCGATCGGAGAATGGGAGAAGAAAAACTCACCTTCATTGTTTTGCATCTATCGCTGATTTGGAGTAGGAAGAATCGAAGAAGCCGCAAACGACTCGTTGTTTTGGCGTTCGTACTTGTATCCAACCCCTATCAAAACGGGTAAATCCGGTTTTAACCGGTTCAACATAAATGGTTCGACCGTGGTTTAGGGGAAACTCATCCGGTTCGATCCGATCTATATTTTTACAAAAAACCGTTCTCAATTGACTCGCCTTCTACCCTGGGCCACATTCCAACCTGTTGAACCGGCCGGATCGATCTGGTTTTAAAACATTGGTTAATATACCCAAAAGTAATCTTACAGGGTATTATAATTAGACATGAAAAAAAGACTAGTCTCAGACCGGTTAAGAAAAAAGATATATACTGAATCGATCTAATACAAGACTAGACCAAAAAAATCTTGGACAGGTTAAAAAAAAGCTGTTCTGAAACCGATTCCAAAAAAGATCAGACCCGTTTCGATACCGACGCAAGACCGCTCTAAGACCGACTCGAGATCGGTCTCAAAACGACCGGAAGTGAAAATTTATATACATATAAATTTTGTGTTAATTATATATTTTTATTCACACATTACCCAACTTCTTACATTATTTATTTTAATAAATTTTAGCCAATGTGTTAATCATACACTTGTTAACTATATTTTCGAAATCGAACCAAAAAACCAAAAAACACCAAAATCGAACCGAAATAGACCGATCTCGATCTCTAAGACCGAAGAAAGAAGAACCAATTAAAAAAACCACATCCATATCATTTTTAAACCGATCCGAAAACATATATACATATCGTAGTCTAGACTCTAATCACTAAAGGCGGGTTGACCCAGCAAAACTCAAATCATGGTAACCAATCAATTAAGATTGTTTAGAAACCCAGTAAACGGATTCTGTTAGTCTTCTAGATTCTTCTTTGGCCTGCTCACCACTATATCTATTTGAGTTCATTCACAGATCTAGGGTTTCAAAACTCTAGAATCTTCCACTCCTTGAACCCTCTAGACACTCCTTTTCTTGCCCTTTATCTCCTCCATCAACATCCCATAGCCGCCGCTTCTGATTTCTATAACGAGTACCTACCCTGTCTTACACTTCAAGTTCTCTGTTCTTCAGCAACAGTAATGGCGAAATATGGAGAAGGGGATAAGCGTTGGATCGTTGAAGACAGACCAGACGGAGCGAATGTTCACAACTGGCACTGGGCCGAGACCAATTGCCTCGAATGGTCCAGAAACTTACTGTCGAAGCTCCTCGCGGACCAAACAATACTCGACGGCGAAGGGAACCTCTTCATCAAAACAAAAAAGATTGAAAAAGTGGAAGGAGAGGCTTACGTTAATGTTCGAAAGGGGAAAATTATTCCAGGTTACGAGTTAAGCGTTTCTATCAATTGGCAAGGCGAGGCGCGAGATGCTGAGGGGAAATCTCTCTTGATAGCCGATGGAGTTGTTGAAATTCCTTATATTGCGGATGAAAACGCCGACGAGGATCCTGATCTTAGGGTTATTGTGAAGGATGAAGGTCCGATCGGGAGGAGATTGAAGGACGCCTTTCTGGCGAAGGGGAAAGATTTTGTTTTGAAACAGATTAGGGTTTACGTCGATGCCATGGCAAAAGGTGGACCTGCAAAAGATGAATTGGAGGTGAAGAAGGTGACTTCCAAGCAAGCGGCAGCTCCTGTGTCGGCTCCACCGGTTGCTGCACCTGTCAAGAAGGTGGAGGAGAAGAAGGAGAAGAAGAAAGAAGGGTTTAAAACGATTAAGCTGACAGAAAAGTTTAGCTGTAGGGCGAAAGATATGTTTGAGATCCTGATGGATGACAACAGATGGAAGGGTTTCACGCAAAGTAATGCTAGAATCAGCAAAGAGGTTGGTGGGGAGATTAGTATCTTCGATGGATCGGTTACTGGAACAAATTTGGAGTTGCAGGAGGGCAAATTGATCGTTCAGAAATGGAGGTTTGGAAGCTGGCCTGATGGCATCCACTCTACGGTATGTTTGTTTTAATTCAGTATCTTCGTTCTTTTTCATGCCACCTAAAGATATTATTCGACAATTGTCTTCTTAAGGCGATATTCATGTAAGTGGCAATATTTGTATGGTTTTGTGTATTGATCTATACTGCTATACTCTTCTTCACATGACAAAGTAGTTTGCAGGTCTATAAGAATTAAAAAAAAAAAACAGAATATTAGTGTGCACATGTGCCTAGACTAACGTAAAGCTTCTTTCTTTTCACCATGAAAATCAAGAAAAGAATACACCCATGAACATGTGTCATGTGATTTAACAGAAAAACCCAAGGAATCTGATTTTTAGGTAGAAAGGGATTTCAACATTAATGGTTAATGGTTAGCTCCATGTTTGCATCATATATGGGAATTCTTTTGTAGATGTTGTATTATTCTCAACATTTGATGATTTGATTAAACCAAAGCTTCTTTATTCATGTGGGGTTCCTACTATCTCACCACTCAGATCAAATCTTGAATCTTGTAACATGTTATTGACCATAAAAATGTCAAACGACTGAAATGAGTTGTTATTCTGCAGGTTAGGTTGGTTTTAGAGGAGCCTGAACCTGGAGTCACGGTTGTGAAGTTGACACAGACTGATGTTCCAGACGAAGACAGGTTTGTTTCTTAGTCATCAGAAACCTTTTAATTTTTAGGATGAAATAGCAAGGGGCATTTATGTCTTTTCATATATAGCATAACAACATTTGGAAGCTATGATGCAGGTATGGTAATTCAACTGTGGTGGAGAACACAGAGAGAGGATGGCGGGATCTAATTTTCCACAAGATAAGAGCAGTTTTTGGGTTTGGTGTTTGAAAGGTGAACACGACTTAATTAATGTATTTGGTGAAATGTAGAATTATCAAGTTTGAGAGTTGGAGTAATAAATTTGATTATTGTGGATTGGTTGAAAGACACTGAATATTATTGTGTCAATCATCAATGCGTCGAATTGAATTTGTCTTTCTGTCAAAACTCTTAATGCTTTCGTGTTTGAACATTACAACACAGTTGATTTTGTGGGTTGGTTGTCTTTGTCTTCAGTTGTGCGTTTAGATCAGCTCTTTTGAAAATGTTTTCTTTTTTATGTTCAAAAATGTATTTACAATATTTATCTAGATAGTGTTTATGTTAGGTATAATGTGTTTTAACTATATCTGATTTGGTTTTGTTTTAGTTGAATAAGTCTTTAGTTTCTAGGAGAGGCTATTCTTCAGGCAAATCACACTAAGTTTAGGGATCTTTATTTGTTTAAGTTTTATAAAGGTTACATAAACCCCTGCAAGTTTGGCATGCAATTTCTTGTCTAGTTACTAAGCCACCCTTCTTCATGGATTTACAAATGCTGTCCCAAACAATCGAGTGGTGCTTGTGCTCATCATTGGAATCACATAATAAATTAGCCATAACACTTTTCATCTTAGAAATCCAAGGGAGCGAATGTTGGATGGTGATCAAGTCTGATGAAGCTGCCACCACCCATGTCGTTCCTTGAAGAACAATCTTTATTCAACATAAGGAGAGGAGCCCATTTGATCCATTTGCGCTTTGCGCCTTAACTCAGGACTTGATAAACTATCTAATGAAGAGTCTGCGATCCCAAGAAGTCCATATCGGTCTGTTAGTTCACGCAAATCCAAAGAAGTTTTCACGGACGAGCCACATGTTGGGAAACTTTAACACACAAAAGACTCCCCACCTTAGGAGTGTGATACATCTGGTGAGCGTTGATGAAGAACATAAGGAATGCAGGAGCTCGAGTATTGATATATATTCCATCAATAGAAAGGAGGAAATATGGAATGGAAAGTACAACAGTTGCTACTATAATCTCAAACAAGAACCGAGCACATTTCTTTTTCTTATTGTTGGGCATATGTATAGAACTAATTTTGGGATTGGGATATGAGCACAATATGAAAAATCTTTTAGATGCACGTATACCTGTGGGAGGGCGATTGAGACGTGGGCATAAGGGACTTTATGATACAATTAATAATTCACTTTATTTTCAATTAGGCCTTACCATAACTTCCTTAGGGGTTATTACTTCTTTGGTAGCTCTCTTCTTTGTCTCAAAGGACTAGCTTTTTTGGGAGATCTAAAAAAATATCCAATACCTCCTGGGTAGATGCCTGATTCTATTCCTTGGACTAGCTAATGAGTTAATTTAACAACCTTCGGTAACTCCTAATTAGCTACATAACAAGAGAAAGATTATGAACCAATCTTTGAATCAGGTTATCACTTGCCTAAAATACAAGGACTCTTCTGAGAGTGGGCTTATCCCAATTTGGGATACTTCTGTGTTTCAAAGATTTGATGTTATTAAGAATCGTCATTACTTGGTTGTTGGCGGAAAATACAAGGACTCTTCTGAGAGTGTCATTTTGAATATTGTTAACGTATATGGTCCTCAGTCAACATCAGAGAAAAAAAAGGTTTGGCTTGAACTGCTTAACATAATAAATGGAAGACCTGAAACGTGGGTGGTGTTTGGAGATTTTAACGTGGTAAGGGATCCGGGGGAAAGATGTAATTCTCAATTTTGTCCCTATAGTGCCTCTGATTTCAGCAGATTTATCCATGATGCTAATCTAAAAGATTACAACATGGGTGGGGAAAGATTCACGTACATGAGTAGAGTCGATACCAAATTAAGTAAATTGGACAGATTCTTGACTTGCCCTAATTATTTGCAACTGTTCCCTCTTAGCTACGTAACAACTCATCCTCGGGAGCTCTCTGATCATAGTCCCATTACCCTCTTGTCTAGCGAAGCTGATTTTGGGCCTATCCCTTTCAAGTTCTTTAATTCGTGGCTCCTTAAAGAGGGAATTGATCAAGTGGTGAGTGATGCTTGGAATTGTTTTAGAGGGTTTGGAACCCCTAATGCATACCTGGCTGCTAAATTCAGGTTCTTGAAAGACAGAATTAAGAAGTGGAGAAAAGATGGCGATAAAAAAGAAAGGCAGGAAGTAAGCGGTATATGGGACGTGGTTAAAGACCTTGAAAAGGTTGCAGAATCTAGACCACTCTCTTCAGATGAACAAAGAATATGGGCTGATGGAATAAGAAAGATAACAGAGTGGGAACGCCTGAAGGCACTCGATCTCAAACAGAAAGCGCGTATCAAATGGACCATTGATGGAGACGAGAACAGTAAGTTCTTCCATGGGTATATCAACAGCAAGAATCGAAGGAGTCTTCTTCATGGTCTTATGATTAATGGGCGGTGGACGACGGGGGTTAATGAGATCAAGGAGGAAGTATACAGGTTTTTCCACGACAAATTCACAGATGCACACTTGGTTCGTCCCAAGTTTAGTAACCCAAACTTTAAATCAATTTCCATGATGGATGCTATTAGAATTGAGTCCCCTTTTACCCCTGAAGAAGTAAAGGCTGCGGTTTGGGACTGTGGTAGTGAAAAGGCCCCGGGACCTGATGGATTCACCTTCAAATTCATGAAAAAGTTATGGGACATGATTAAAGATGACGTGATGAAGTTTGTGATGCATTTTGAGGAATCTGACTCACTTGCCCGGGGTTGCAATTCTTCATTCATCACTCTTGCCCCTAAGATCAAGGACCCTCTTTCTCTAAATGACTACCGCCCGATTAGTCTGATCGGCTGCTTAAGCAAGATAATAAGCAAATTACTTTCCAACAGGTTGAAGCGGGTTATTGGTGACCTGATAGGCGATGTGCAGTCTGCTTACGTTGATGGAAGATGCATACTCGAGGGTCCTCTTATGGTTAACGAGGTGTGCTCATGGGCTAAGAGAGCACACAAAAAGATTCTTCTTTTTAAAGTAGATTTCGATAAAGCATTCGACTCGGTGAACTGGCAATACCTGGACTCAACAATGGAACAAATGGGTTTTGGAAGCAAATGGAGGTCGTGGATCCGTGGATGCTTGAATTCGTCCTGGGCGTCGGTAATCATCAACGGGTCGCCAACAAAAGAATTCCCTATTTCTAAAGGCGTTCGTCAAGGTGATCCTCTTTCTCCTTACCTGTTCATCATCGCTATGGAAGGTTTGAGTGTGGCCCTTAGGTCGGCTTGTGACAAAGGAATCTTCAAGGGTGTTCAAATCCCGAGTAATGGTCCAATTCTGTCTCACCTCTTCTATGCGGATGACGCTCTGTTTATCGGGGAATGGTCTAGATCAAACCTAAAGAACCTAGCACGCATTCTTAGATGTTTCCACATTTCTTCGAGACTCAAAGTTAACTTTCATAAATCGAAAGTATTCGGAATTGGAGTTGACCTAACTGAAACATCGAACTGGGCTAATCTTCTCGGGTGCGTTTCAGGAAACCTTCCATTTGACTACCTCGGAGTGGCGGTTGGTGCCAATATGAATTTAATAAAACATTGGAAACCCATAATTAAGAAGTTTCGGTCTAAGCTTTCCTTATGGAAGGCTAAATCGTTATCGTTTGGTGGAAGGCTCACATTAATCAAATCGGTTATAGGTAACCTGCCTACCTACTTTTTATCCTTATTCCGAGCTCCTGTGGGTGTAATTGAAGAAATGGAAAAGATAAGACGTACCTTCCTGTGGGGAGGTTGTGATGATAAAAAGAAAATTCACTGGGTTTCCTGGGACAAGGTCCTTGCAGCCAAAGAAGATGGGGGACTTGGAGTGGGATCCATATAGGCTTTAAACATTGGATTGCTCGTGAAATGGTGGTGGAGGCTGAACAATGAAGCACATTCTTTGTGGGCTAGGGTAATATCCGGTATACATAATTTGGCTAATAAACCGATTGATTATTTATCCTCACAAAGGTACGTTGTAGTATGGAATAATATTGCCAGCTCCAAAAAGTCTCTATGTGAGCTTGGAATTGAGATCCATGATCTTTTTAATATTAAGATCATGTCAGGGAACAATACTCTGTTTTGGTATGACCATTGGCTTGGTTCCAGCAGCCTCAAATCAAAATACCCCAACTTATTTGAATTGGAATCAAAGAAAAGGTGCATTGTATCGGATAGGATTGGCGGATTGAATCAAAACTGGATGTGGAAAGCTAGGCCTGCTGTTCGGGGGCTTGATTCTGAAGTTAACGACCTAATTAAAGATGTCTCTAACGTTCAATTAAACTTGGGAATAGACCATTGGAGATGTAAACTTTCGGCGGATGGTAGGTACTCGGTGGGCATTATTCGGCAGCTTGTAGACAAGCTGAAAACCATTAACCCAGTTGCCCCTGTGATTATATGGAGTAAAGTCGTACCGATTAAGGTGATTTGTCTTGTATGGAGAGCTGTACAACAACGTATACCAACTGCTACTGCCTTGGAAAGGAGGGGTATTCCGGTCAACTCAACATTATGCAGCTCATGCATTGGAAGTTCTGAATGCGCTGACTACGTGTTGATCAATTGTCCGCTTGCTAACATGATTAGAAGCTGCATTTGGAGATGGTGTGGTATTACAAGTGAGCACGAGTCTATAAAAACCATCAGTGACCTTATACACTTTGCTAGCACATGGGGGAGGAATAAAAAGAAACGGAAACGACTCGTTGTGATCTGCTATGGCATGCTGTGGAACTTATGGCGATTCAGAAACAAAAGATTATTTAACCTGGAGGGTATTTCAGTCCATAATGGTACGGAATGTATTAAGGCCATGACCTTTTATTGGATTAAACATAGGGGAAATAAGGGTATATGTAGTTGGGAGGAATGGTTATCATCTCCATTTTATGACTTGTAATTTTGCATTCACTTGTATGTTTTTCTTATTTTGGTCCCTCTTCTAGTTCCTTGCTAGGGGAGGGTTCCTTTCTATAATAAAATTTTCCGTTTCCAAAAAAAACTTGCCTAAAAGAAAGCTCTAGCCACAAAGCTTAGATATGGTTTCCGGATCGGAGATCCATGGATTACAGACGGTATCTCCCTATGGCCTTTCGCCTCTGAAAGCGTCCTAGTTATGAATGAGCCAATCTATCTATGGCAACCACCCTTACTTTTAATAGATGAAGATACACACCTAGGAAAACACGAAATAGGCCTATGTGTTGGCCAGTGCGATCCAAAATAGAAAAACTTCAACAATTTCTATTTATTTGAAAGGGGAAAAAACATAGGGTTCCAAACCTGCTGGGAACAATCTCTCTCCGCTTGAATGTTCTCGCTTCCCTAGTCCACCTTAGTTGTTCTAGTCCACCTCAGTTGTTTACTTCATTTTCCGACCTGGAAAACCAATAACTCTTTAGGTTAGGTTCTCTTTCAAGCCTAAGTAAAGGACTGTTGCTTTAAAACTAACTAGCCAGAAGAGGAGAGCGCTAACTTATATATATATATATATATATATATATATATATATATATATATATATATATATATATATCACATTTTATATTAATGTCATTTGATTGTGGGCGAGTGAATCTCACATGCATGATCAAAATGTCAACTTTTAACAAATGTTTGTGTTACCCGCCATTTTGAAGTTTGATCAATGACAATGGAAAACTTTTTAAGAAACCGAAAATGTGGAGAATGGTGGAAGAAGGTTAATAAGTACTTGTTCCAGCCGGTAGGGAATTTCTGAAAACCATACTTAGCATTGAAAAGGGAGTTTGAGTTGCTAGCAATGAAGGAAGGAGATAAGACAGACAGTTTCTTGGGAAGAACCTTAATGGTTGTAAACAAAAAATGAACTCTAATGGCAAGATCATGGAGTAACATATGGTTGTTAGCAAAGTACTTAGGTCCTAAAACTAGATTTAATTAAATATAATTTGTTCAGGGTGCAAGGCAACTAGAAAGTGTTAGATAAGGAGTCGAGGCTTAGTTAGAGGTGGGCATGGTCAAGGAAGGGGAAGAGGACCTTTCAATAAAGCAATCATCAAGAGTTATAAGTTGGGGCACCTACAGTATGAGTGTTGACTGCACAAACTATACTAAATTTAAGGAAGACTAAGATTAAGACTTAAAAG